CTTCTGAAGCCTCAAATTTGTCCCCAGTGACATACTTCCTCCAGCAAAGCCCCTATTCCCACCTCAACAGGCATCAAGTACTCAAACATACATGAGCCTAACGGGAGCCATTCATGCCAACCACCACAGCAAGAACAATGGGCAGACAAGAACACCTGGGCACAGGGATGCTGATGTTTCACGGCATTCACAGTATGAAGTGCTCATTATCATCTTCTCAGTGATGCTCATTTAAGCCACCAGCTGACAATCTGGTGCCAGCAGCTTCACCACCAACCAGTTCAGTGAAAAACTTCCCGTGTTTCTACAAATGTTAAAAAACTACTTTCACTACTATAATTCTAGAAAGCACCCTAACCTCAGGGGCCAGCCAGTAACAAAAATGACACCAGGGAGGCAGGAGAGATTGATGGCTCGGTAATTACAGGTTCCCACTGCACTTTGCAGAAGACCTGACTTCAGTTCCCAGCACCCATATTGTGCAGATCACAATCATCTGTAACTCTTAACTCCAAGGGGATCCAACAATCCCATGCCCTATTCTGGCTTTGGTGGGCATTGCACTCACACGCACAAATCCACACGTGAGACACATAAATATACACATATAATTAAAAATAACAGAACTGACTTCTCAGTAGAATAAAAATTCTACTATGTCTAGAATTTCCCTCTGTGCCAGATCCTACTTCAAGTGCAAATCAAAATAAGACCATGAACCTACTTGCTGTTTTAAGGAACACAACTTAAAAACTGGAATAGATTTTAAACAATGAGGACTATGGGATATCCAGCATCCTTTCATTATCCTCCGTTATTCTATGGTGAAAGAATGGGGCCCAAAGTATTCACTGGTTTTTTTCTAGTCCTATTGGCAGAGAGGAACTGAGACAAGTATCAGAAATAGGGGTGACTTACCCCTCCCAACCCACACACAAGGGAAATGAATCTGATACAGCAGGTGAAAATAAAATCAAGTGGGGATGTCCAGCTGCTAAAGATGAGTTACCCCTGAGGAGCAGTAGCCTGCAACTAAGGGAATTACAGTTTTTTGTTTTTTGTTTTTTTTCTTTCTGCAACACAGGGTCAGCATGGAGCAAATCCCACCAGGTACTCTGATTATACTAGTTCTTAATGATAGAGGGCAAGTGAGAATCATTTATCACCCAAGATTGAGGCCAACTGACTGCAGGGTCCTCTATGCAACTCCTGACCATGACAACAAGGCTCTGAGGGCTAAAGTCGGAAGGGCAAAGAGCGAGTTTTCAAAGGACAAAGACATCCAGTTGACAGAATTTTAAATTTTAAATCCCACTAGAAAAGTGTCTAGTTACAAAAACAATGCATGTTGCTTGTACACAGTAAGAGAGGGAAGGCATGCACAAACAATGGATATAACCTAGCTGCATGTATGTCTGTGATCCCAGTACTTGAAAGGCTGAAGCAGCAGGATCATGAGCTGGGGTACTATCGAGACCTTGCCTCAAAAGGGAATAAATTAATTCATATATAATAGAAGGCATGCTCAGCCCCCAGCTGAGTTACTGCTAACATTCTGGAGAACTGCTTTTGAGACTTTTAACATACATCAGTCTGCTCATTAAAAACATATAACTACAATAATGACACCATCACCTTCTTTCTGAGGGACCACAGAGCAGAGCAGCACTGTCCTTTCAAAGTTACTTACTACTCCTTCAGGTCAGTCTTTCACTCATCAAATAGCCGGTCCCACAATTTGCGCTCAGGAAGACACACATTTCACAAGACAGAAAAGAGCTGCAGGCTTAAGCCCTGACACTGTGTGTGGTTTGCTTACTGAGAATTTGGCGTATCTGCTACCCAGATTGGAAGTCTGAAGGGCCCCTCATCTACAGTGACATGAACTTGATTTTGTTTCTAAAGGCATCTCGGGGTAGGTATGGTCAGTCCCTGGAGGCAGAGGCAGGCAGATCTCCATTGGGCCTCAGCTAGTAAGTCTCTTGTATTCAGGAATCCCTCTGAAATACATACTAAGAAAATGTTCAAACCCGATAGAGAAACCACACTGTCCTATAAACAGATGTCCAGTGGCCTTTGGGTGAAACATGCTAAGCACTGTCATGGAGAGCAGATCAATTCTACCTCATGTCCGCCTATGGCACCTCCAACATGGGTCTCCCTTAGCAAGCCCTCCATTTCAAAACATCAGCAGAAGCAAACATCTTGAAGGTCATATTAAAGTGATTACACAGGTGGAAAAGCCTATTGGCATCCATTACTCTAACAATCTTCCAGATGGAAAAAGTTTTCCCACACTGCCCAGTTCAGAGTTTGAGTATCTGACAAAAGACCAGTTGAGTCCATTAAGGAGATGTGTACCAAGAGCCTGGAGAATGAGGGTCAAATGCCTGTAGTTATGAATCATCTAACTGGCCAACAATGGAAGCAGGTTCTTGGACATGTGTATGCCTAGTGGATTACTTGCCCTGATGAAATACCTAGCTCATGGTTTGGTGTGTATGTCCATCACACCGAAGGGTATGGCAGTAGGTATGTGAAGTGGCTGGTCCTGCTGCATCCTCAGGGAGAAAAGTTCAGCTCACTTTCTCATTCTTGGTCCAGGACCCCAGCCCATGGGGATGGTGTCACCCAAGCAGGGCAGGTCTTCCCTCCTTGGTTAAACCTGTCCTCACAGTAGATGTCCTATTCTGATTCTAAACCCTTTCAAGTTTTTAACTGAGACTAACCATTACACCTGGTAGCTAACAGAACAGGTTTATAGAGCTATAGAATAAGCCCAGCTTGGAGATGAGCCAAAGATGCCCACCTCCAAGCAACATGCTACTCACTGCCTTCAAAACTCCAAGACCTAGAAGAAGATGAGGCAATAGTGTTTATTAGTTAAGAGTTTCAGTTTGAAAACATTCTGGAGATAGAGGGTAGTGATGTCATCAGATGTTAATGTAGGTACTGCCACAGAGTTACACCCTCAAAAGTCAGACTGTAGATTTGCTATAGCATTTAAGCAAGTAAATAACCAACAACCACCCAAAGGTCTAAAAGCCAAGCCAAGACTCATGAGACACTGTCTAGGAACATGCTAACCACGCCTACATCCAACAGTGAAAGTTTGATGATGTATTCAGAGACGTACCTGTTCATCACACTCTGTACCGTGACTTGAGGTGGACACAAGACACCATCTCATGAAGTTTCAGACTAATTTGGGTGGGGGGGCGGGGGAGAATAACCAGTTTAGTGTATCATACAGTTCAAACACTTATTTTCTTTAGAAAGAAAAACTGGGAGGTGTAGATTTAGGTTTATAATGTAAGCATATTTAGGTTTAAGGTTATGGAAAGAGCCAGGGTAGTGCTAAATTCACGGAATGCTGGGAGAACACATCTGAAGCCCAAACCTTGTCTTCTGTGCCTGGCATGCCACCATCACCACTTCCTTCTGCACTCGGCTCTTAGATTTTTAGTCTTTTTTCATATCTTAATTGAAGGGGACATCAATGTTAACCAGAATGGCTATGACAGGTGAATGGGAAGACCAAGTACAGAAAACAATGTGAGTTCAGTAAGAAAGGGGGCTTCTTGCATGGTTAAAAACGACGAAAACTGATAACACAGCGAAACACAGTGATTATGTCTATGACTGTCCCTGCGCTTCTAGAGACAGCATGCAGAATAAGCCACCTACTGTTGACAACATGGGCCACAGCAAACCAAATTAACCTCCTCTCTCTTCCCTCTACATCACAATGCAAATGAATAATTACAAAAGACAAAATGTGTGCAAAAAGTCCAGCTGTGCGCCTCTGCTAATGATCAGCCCTGCCACCTGCATCAGTCCCGGACCAACAGCCACCACTGGAATCCAATTCCATACAAGCACCAGCGCTGTCCTTATTCAATGACTAGGAATGAAAAACTGAGAAAAGGGAGAAAGCTACTGCTACTACATACATGTCAAAGCTTCCTGGGGGGGCCTCTGTGTGCTGAGGCGAGATACAAGCTTCTCACAAAGGACCTGGCTAAAGCACACTCTCTGTTGTGAAGAATGTAACCTGTGTATGATGCTGGTGAACAGAAAATAAAAACACATGCTTCCTTCAATGACATGCCAGCACAGATAAAGATGGCCTTCTTATGACCACCTACCTGCTCACTATTCTCAGTATTCCAGTCTTAAATTCATATAAATTAACATACAAACTACCTCCATAGAGCAGTGCTTCTCAACCTCCTAATGCTGTGGCCCTTTAATACAGTCCATGTTGTGAATGTCCAACCATAAAATCATTTACATTGCCATTTTATGACTCTATTTGCTACTACTGTTGTGAATTGTAATCTAAGTATCTGTTTTTCCGATGATGGTCTTAGGTGACCCCTGTAAAAGGGTCTTTCAGACAAAAGGGGTTGAGAACCACTACCATAAAGGGTTTTAGTTGTATTTTGCTAGTAAACTTTTTTGACTATAAAGCAAGCAGGGAAATGAGTTCCTAACAGAGACCCAAACCCTCCTGTTGTGTGTGCTTTGTGCGTGGCTTCAATCTGGACAGGCAGAAACTTACTACTCACCCACTGGATCATGGCCTCATTTCACAGCCACACATGCGCGTGCAGAAGACCCACCTAGGACTGTGGAGATGTTTAAGACTCAGATCGAGACTCAACAGCAAAGCAGAAAGGAATCTTTCAGTAGGCGTTGAGCCCCACATTTCCACAATACTTCCTAGGTACAGCCTTGCTTGGGCTTAGCTGGCCACCGCAGACAGTCTTTTGAAAACTCACGCAACACACCCCCGTGTTGCGGAGCAGGTGGGCTTCAGAGCCACTGACTGAAGAATCTATACCACAGTATTTTAAAATCACAGAACCCAGGTGACAACTGTACTGGCACATGTAAAATGAAATACTCCTCTATAAAGCCATTCTTTCAGGAGAGGGAGAGCAAGAGGGAAAGGAAGGAAAGCGGGTGGGATAGGGAAGGTCAAAGAGACCACTCACCTGCATCAGTTTCCGAGAGAGCTCATTGGTAAGAAATTCCTCTTCTTTCTCATAATTCACGGCGAGGGTTTCTTTCTCCTTCTGCAAGGCCTGGATTTTCTTGAATAAAGTGTTACTGATGAATTCCTCTTCCTGCTCAGCCCTGGCTTGCTGTTTAAAAGAATTAAAAGAACAAAACAAAAACATAGTGAGGACACAGAGAATTTTCCAAATGTAACATAGCTCTTTTTTTTTTTTTTTTTTTTTTTTTTTTTGGGTTTGGTTTTTTTTCCAGACAGGGTTTCTCTGTATAGCCCTGGCTGTCCTGGAACTTGCACTGCAGGCTGCAGGCTGGCCTTGAACTCACAGAGATCCACCTGTCTCTGTTCCTGAATGCTGGGATTAAAGGCATGCATCACCATCACCCGGTTATAGCTTATTTCTATATGTGCCTATTTTGAAGAGAGCTCTGTTTTTAGTTGTAAACCCTCATACCCCCACATAAAAAGCAGAGGACTTCAGCTGTGGCTCTAGGGACTATGAGCCCAAGGACCTCCTTAGACTATGCATGATCTTTCTTAAAAGTGATAGGTCAAATTATCAAAGACCAGAGAGATTTCATGAAGTATTTATACCCGAACATACAAAGTTCCTCTTGACAGGACCCAGCCTGACGAGAGAACACTCTCTCAATGCCACTGAATGAACCGAGGCATATCTGTGTGTTTGTGGAACTGTTATAAAGGAGAGGTACTGAGTTCTAAACAGAGCTATCATGAGGTACTAAGTGCCTATAGGCCAACCAGAAGACCAGAGAGAAATTTCACATTTTACTTTCTTTTCCTACTAGGAACTTGGGGGGGGGGGGGTATTGATTGCCAAAGCGGGCATTACTGAGTTGAAAAATCACTAGAAAACACTCAACCAAAATGGGTCAGGCATAATGCAGTGGGTGACAACATCCTCCATGGGTCACCTCTCATCTCCCCAAGAACTTTAAAAACAAACAAAACAGCAAAGCATAACCACTCTGGAGGAAAATCCCTTTTAGAAGGAAAGGGACTCAACTCTATCCAAAGTAAAAAATGCCAACATTCTGATATATTTATTCCACATGCATCCTTTGAGGTTTTTTTTTTTAATTTTGAGATTTTTTGTTTTATGTGTATGGGTATTTGTCTGCGTGGATGTATGTGTACCGTGTGTGCAGTGACTCTGGAAGCTAGAAGGCAATGTTGAATCACCTAGGACTAGAGTTATAAGTGATTATACACTTCTGTGTAGGGACAGGGATTCAACCAAGATCCCCTGTAAAAGGAGCCAGTGCTCTTAACTGATGAGCCATCTTTCAGCCCCATCCTTTATTATTTTATATCTACTGTTGGCATTTATAAGTAGAAAGGACACAGCCAGGGAGGGAAGGAGGGAGGGAGGGAGGGAGGGAGGGAGGGAAAGAGAGAGAGAGAGAGAGAGAGAGAGAGAGAGAGAGAGAGAGAGAGAGAGAGAGCTGCATAAATTCCACACCTTTGCTGACACCAGACAGCCAGAAGGACAGGAGAAAGGCTGCTGTCTGACATTAAGCAGCCACTACCTTTATCATTAAAGGGCCACACAACTACTCACATGCACCAACACCTTGATACCAGACTCCCTAACACACACTCATATCCTCCTGGCCTCAGTGACAGCACACCCCTGGCTTGTCATCCTCCCAGTAACTCTAGAAAAGGTCTGCCAAAATACACTCATGATACTCAGACTGAAATCCAGGACTACATAAAAGCTGGGCCCTTAGAGACGAGTCAGCACCCAAGAACAGAGAGCATATCCACTAGCTATAAAGTCCGTGAACAGCCAAGGACACCAGAAGCAGACCTTAAGTCCCTTGGGGTAAGGTTCCCTTACCTGCCTCTAACTTCAAGAGCCCTTGGCATGATCTCACCCCCCTGCCACAGTCAAGGGAAGTAAAAGAAAACTCAACTTTTGTCCTTTAAGTCAATATCCAACTCTTCCAGATTTAGAAACTTCACTTGATAGGCAAGAATCCCAAGTATTTACATAGCTAGCTAATCTAGATAGCTAAGCCTGCAATCCTCCTGCAATCTACCCAAGCTACTTGCTTTTCTGGTTCTGACCAATCTAGTCCAATTCTAACTATTCTAAATGTCATGGAAGAGAAAGACAGAGGAACTCTGCCCAGCTGGCAGGGCTGACGCCAGGCTTAGCTCTCTAAAGGGTTATTTACTGCAAGCCAGCCTCAGCACCAAGTCCCATTCCATCACTTACACATGATCGATCACACATTATTGTAACTGAGCAGCAGTTTCACCACAAGCAGTAAGGGAGGCTCCACCCAGGCTGGGCAGACCACCTCCTCCTTTGCAGGGGGCCTACAAGGGACAGTAAGGGCTAATACTTCTGACACAGGTAACCAGCCTTCAGCTTCACCTATTTAGTTCCTTCTGTCTCATCATTTCCTATCAAGTTAAAGGGATGACAAGACTGCAACACCTTATGAACAAGAAAAGACAGATAAGGGCTCCTAGCTCCCCACCCCAAGGGTGGGGAACGGGCGCTGCTGTGCATGGGTTGCTTGCAGAGCTGAGGAGAGCACCTTGGAACTTGGTGGCATGGACAGTTCTTATGAACATACTAGTGGCTATCAAAACACACATCCTAAAAGGATGAATGTTACTTTTTTGTTTTCAAGAAAGGATTTCTCTGTATTTCTTTGGAGCCTGTCCTGGAACTCACTCTGTAGACCAGGCTGGCCTCAAACTCCCAGAAATCCAACTGCCACTGCCTCCCGTGTGCTGGGATTAAAGGCGTGTGCCACCAACAACTGGCTGAATGTTATTAAGAAAGGACTCTACTAATTAACAAAGTATGTTTTACAGGGCTGTGCTTTTCTACAGGAGCACATTTTTAAGAAACTGTCGTGACGTTCTTTCCCAACTGATACACCATAGGGGTGGGAAGCTGAGACTGTGACCAATGAATAAATAAGAAAAGAAAAAGGAAGAAAGGAAGAAAGAAAGAGAAAGAAAATTTGCTGTTTGAGAATAGTCATTTATTTCTTAGCAAAGCCCATTAGTTGAAACCCTGGGCAAAAATAATTATCATGATGTAAGGCTACCAGAAGCTGGGCATCCTGGTGCATACCTGTAATCCCAGCATTTGAGAGGCTGAAGCAGGGTTACAGTGAGTTCAAAGTCAGCCTGAGCTACACAGCAAGACATTGTCTCAAACCCCAGTGGGGCTACCAGAGCTTATGAAATGTCCCTTCAGCTACAATTTCCTGGCAGTTCTAAGTTCTACCCGGGGCCATCTGATTGGCACAGGTTATGTTAGGCATGAGCTCATAACTGAAGACAAAGGTAAGATGGATTCAACATTGCCTCAGAGAATAATGTTCTGAGAAAATCTGACATGGCATCCAGCATCCTGCTGGTATCATGACAGTATGGGTAAACCTCATCACTACAGAAGCCACACATCACAGAAAAGCATGTATGGCGGTCCAACTCTCCAGCAGGCTTTCACCCACAATGTGTAGCATCACCTCAACTTTACATCCCCATCTTAAAACAGGCCCTGGTATTTAATCTGCACAAAGTCATCTTTGCACTGCAGTCCCTACATGAGGTCAGGAAGGAGGCAGAGAGAAAGCAGGGAAAGAACAAAGAGCCAGCCGGGATGCTGGTCCCAAGACACCAACAGGTTCCTTGTGAAATCTCATCCTCAGGTTTCCCTTGTTCTCTGAACTATTTGAATATCTCATGCCCCTAAGCACATCTCAGTTCAAAAACCAAGCCTGCATCCCAAAGCTGAACAAACAAATCCAGGCTGATTTATCTCTCCATGAAGTCCCAAACCGAAATGTAAACAAAGCAACCCAGGCAAAGAAGGAAGGTCTTCACTGTTCTGTGTGTCTGCAGAACTGAAGATGAAAAACACAATATTCTGTTTTCATACCCGGTGCCAATCGGGCCGCTTAGAAATGAGAACATGTGAGTAAGCAGCAAAGACTAACGTCCACAGAACACGCCTTCCACCAGTGAGCACTCAGTGTCTATCAATGTGAAAATGGATCACACATCCTTTTCCTATCCTACCAAATATAATTCCAATATAGTGGGGGGGGGAGGAGACATGTATTAACTCCTTAGGAAAAGCAAACATGCAAGGACCCTTAGATGGGATCTTTCCCCTGAGTCACAACCTCTTGGGCAGGTTTGACATAGTGCCTACCAGGATGGGTTACCATCCTCAGCCTATTACCCATGGCATTCTGGAGAATTCCAGAACTATCTACTACAGCATTCACTGATGATGAGGACATCCAATGAACCAGAGCCAAGCAGGTTTATGTAGTATCTGCAGGATCTAATAAAAGGCAGACCACTTTCCCAAATCTTGAAAGTACAGACAAGCATGCACTTGACCACAGCTGCAGGCACTTATCCACAGCTGCAGGAAAGGGCTACTGTCGGTCAACAATGACCAGTGCACTGACTTAAAAACATGTCCACATTGGCTAGTGATTTGTCTTAGTAACCAAGAATTATGAGCTGTCAAAGCCTAGGGATTTAGACATTTACTACTTGTAATCATTTAAATTTAAGACTATACTTGACTATACTGCTCTAATTATTTGAAAGTTGTTATTCTGGGACTGAAGGGTTGGCCCAGTGGTTAAGAGCACTAGTTGCTCTTCCAGAGAACCAGGGTTCGACTCCCAGAACCCACAAAGTGACTTACAATTCCATTTGTAACTCCATTTCCAGGGATCCAGTGACTTGACATACTCTCACACACAAGCATAATAACAATGAACATTAAATTGTTATCTTGTTGTCTAGTCACTAATGATCTAACTTTAACCTTTTTGGTCAGAGGAAGACTTTGTGGGAGTCCATCATGTGGGTTCCAGGGATCAAATTCAGACTGTCGGTCTTAGCAGCATGCTCCCTTCTTCCCTGAGCCACCACAAGATTCCCAGATCTAAATTTTAAAAAGCTTAAAACCTTGCTCAGCAGTTGGGGAACTGGAATGAGTTTGAGGCAAGCCTGGGCTATACATTCAGTTCTAGGCTATCCTGAGCTACAGAGTCTAACTTTGTCTCAAAAACAAAAACAAACAAACAAAAAAACTACAATACCAAAAACTGG